ATTAAAGACTTGGTCACATATTGCCAAGAACAATACGAAGGCAATACTAACGAACTCAAATTAATCAATGAATTTCAATGTAATTATCATCCAACATTGGCCTTATGGTGGTATACACGCCAATGCTTCACGTTCAACATGCTCAATCGAGCATTAAGAACATTGGATGGCGACCTTATCATCCGAATGGGATTTTTCCTGTGTGATGTTCATCGACAAATTGAAAAATTACACAGCCCACAGGTCAGTCAGTATCATGGGAAGTCCTTCTCAGTTTATAGGGGCCAAGGATTATCGCCACACGATTTCAAGAAACTCGCAAAAAACAAAGGTGGTCTCATATCTTTCAATAATTTTTTATCCACCAGTACAGATCGTGATGTCTCCTTCGCTTTTGCCGAAAGCAACTCAGAAGCAACCGATATGGTCGGTATTCTCTTCCAAATGACAATAGATCCTACTGTCTCATCGACTCCTTTCGCTTACATCCAGGAGGTGAGTTATTTCAAGGACGAAGAGGAAATTCTCTTCTCGATGCACACCGTCTTTCGAATTGGTGAAGTTCGTAAACTTGACAAGGAAAATGCACTTTATCAAGTGGACCTTAAACTTACGTCGGATGATGACCAACAACTGAGTCAATTAACCCATCGTGTAAGAGAAGAGGTCGATGGCAGCGGCTGGTACCGAATGGGTCAATTACTCTTGAAAATAGGTCAATCCGGTAAAGCTGAGGAATTGTATCTCGCGCTACTAGAACAGACAACCAACGACACCGCTACAGCACGTATCTATAATATGCTTGGAGAGGTGAAATACGAACAAGGACAATACAAAGAAGCAGGATCATTCCACAAAGCAGCTCTTGAAACGTATCGAAAAACTCTACCGAAAGATGATCCAACGTTGGCTGAAATTTACCAAAATATTGGTGCAGTGCATTGTTCCATGGCTAACTATCCGAAAGCACTTGAATTTTACGAAAAATCATTTAAAATAAGAGAACAAGCTCTGCCTTCGAATCATCCCGATTTGGCTTGTTCCTACAACAACATCGGTCAAGTGTATAACAACATGGGTGACTACTCGAAAGCACTTGAATTTTACGAAAAATCTCTTAAAATAAGAGAAAAAGCTCTGCCTCCGAATCATCCCGAGTTGGCTATTTCCTACAACAACATCGGTGGAGTGTATAACAACATGGGTGACTACTCGAAAGCACTTGAATTTTACGAAAAATCACATAAAATAAGAGAAAATGCTTTGCCTTCGAATCATCCCGATTTGGCTATTTCCTACAACAACATCGGTCAAGTGTATAACAACATGGGTGACTACTCG